AACAAAAGAGGTAAAAGAAACTCTCAACTTCCTGAATGTAAGGTCTTTACTTGAATATGCTTGTGTTATCTGAGACCCGGCTCAAAAGTGTCTTGCAGAAACAATAGAAAAAATTCAAAACCAGGCAGCCCGTTTTGTCCGCAAAAAAAAACGACCCATTTGCTAGTATATCAGATATAAAGGCCAGATTAGGCTGGGAAACACTACAATCTTAAAGAGGGAAACCTTGACTAAAACTTCTGCATAGTATATATTATCACCTAACAGGAATTCAGAAGTCAGAATACCTACAGGCACCAACATATCGTTCCACAAGATGCCAACACACACATAAAATACGAGAATACACATTCAAAACCACATCTTTTGCTAACTCCTTCTTTTTAAAAACAATTAGAGACTGGAACGAACTTCCCGAAGATATCGTAAACTTGAGTGACAACAGCACTCTTTTTTTTTCATTGTTAATGCATCGTGACATGCCTATTCAGTTTTGGTACCTGTGTAGTACCCCCTGTCATATTTTACAAAAATATTTTTTGATTGCATGCTGTAATTACTATAAGTGGTTTTATTTTACAGAATGTTGAAAGCGTCGCTATCACAGAGATGTAAGTAATTATATTGATCTTTGTGTGTAAACCACCCTGCAGTATTGCCACTATGGCATTGCGGGAACTCTGTAAACAAATAAAAATGAATGTTGGTATACTTACGATATGCTCATTTTTATCGCTTTCGCTCTGTATTTTAGGGGCGAAGCTTCTTAGGGTGTGGGTCGTCTTCCTTGTAGTAGTATGTTGTAGTAGTAGCCACTTCTAGTTGATTGATGATTAATATGTGGGGTTTAACGTCCCAAAACCACCATATGATTATGAGAGATGCCAGCTACTTCTAGTTAGATTTAAGAATTGCTCACAGGTGGCCTTGTGTGTATACATTCTTGGAAATAGTATTATTAGATGACGTCGCTGGTTTTCGTATAGTTGATGATTTCGTATAGTTGACAGACAAACAGACAAACGGACGGACGGGCAGACGGATGGGCAGATGGACACTTAGCCCCACTCATCATCATTCCCTCCGTGGATATGCTTTGAATTTTTTAGAATGAATACATACAAACAAGCCTCTGTTATTAAAGGCTGTGCTTTCCACAGTGCTCAAGTACACTGCCTATCTTACCGGATTCTGAAAGCTGCTGAGAGCGCTGGTGGCCACCATTATGTAGAGTGACTCTACCATTATGCAAGCTATAGGCGATGCTGATAAATTGGAGACTGATGGCGGAAAGCATTTACAGCTTTCTTGACTAAACCACTTCTGCACAATCATTGTCTTAGGCAATTGGTATATAGAGAAGCAGCGATTCTGTTCGTTTTTTGGAGAAAAATTGTAATTTTTCAAACAGGAAGAGCACGTCATTGGTTCATAAAACATTTGTTAGTTCCCGCCTGGAGATGCGTCAACCGTGATGTAAATTTCATGTCATACAAAACGGAAGCATGGCATTGTGATCCAATGTTCTAGATCGCCTTCTTAGTGATAGCTTCTTCTGAAATGTTCACGTTCAAGGCGCGAAAGCGTCCAATAGGTGACCCGCAATGCAGAAAGCCTACAGTGCGTGGTCGTAAGACAGGGAAATCGATCTCCGCAGCAGAACTCTAGGACAGATGAGCTACGAAATTTCATTAGATAATTAGGTGATTTCTGTGATCAATGAAAAGTTACCCACGGTCGTTGGTTTCCCAGAGTGCAACTAACAACTGTTGAAAGGGGTGGGGCTCCATCTTCTTTACTTTTCTTAGATGGATGGATGGATGGATGGATGGATGAATGGATGTATCCGGCTGTGCCCTTTAGATCGGGTGGTTGCTCACACCACCTAGCCATAAAGTCAAGTACTATCTTTTCGTGTTTAAAGACTGAATTTCACTCGCGCCTCGATTGTAGCCCCCAATCAGTTAGCCTCTTCCTGGCTATTTCTCCTCGTTTAACGTCTATTTTGCCTTCATTGTCACTTAACCCCAACGCTTTGAAAAATTCGGTGCCATTCTCTTCGGATATGCGCGGAGCTAACACAAAAAACACATGCACACACACACGTGTGTGTGTGTGTGTGCATGTGTGTGTGTTTGTGTGTGTGTGTGCGTGCATGCATGCGTGTGTGTGTGTGTGCGTGCGTGCATGCGTGTATGTGTGTGTGTGTGTGTGTGTGTGTGTGTGTGTGTGTGTGTGTGTGTGTGTGTGTGTGTGTGTGTGTGTGTGTGTGTGTGTGTGTGTGTGTTGGCTCATCAACCAGACTCCAGACTGGTTGATGAGTTAACACGTGCTTCAGAGACCATTGAAAATTATTGAATTCAGCCATCTCATCGCACCTCGTATTCTCAGTCATGCAAATGTAATTTCATCTTCGGAGATGCAGAAACTCTGCCCAGTCACCCTATCCAGACAGACTATGCAAGTAATCTTGGAGGCGTATGGTAAAGACCACCAAACTTAGCTTATTCATTATTCAACGGTAAACGCGTCTTAGTTACTTGCCTTCCTTTGCCTCTTTGTAACATGCATGATGAACCCCATTTTCATACATACCTTTTTAGCAGGTGCAATAACCTTTCAGTTTTGAGTGAGCCTTCTCACTGTGTATATTTATTTTCTTGTCCTACTTCTTTCTTTTCACCCTGGGAGTTTTTTTATTCCACCCTGTAATTACAATGCCAAGGAAAGTTGGTATGTGCATATCGTGCTAGCGACGTGCACACGGTCTATTGAATTTACTTTATTTTACAGAATATCGGCTACTTCTAGTACACTCTTTGAATACCAGAACATTACAATTTACTCGTCAACTGTTCTGATAGCCATTGATTCTTGATATTCTTAATGCATTCATGAATGTTAGGCTTCTCCTGCATCTTTTAGGCAATCATATTGTGTGTTTTGTTTTTTGTTTATGCCGAAGGCGTATTGGCTTTCAAGGATAACAATAAAATTGAAGCCCCTGAGCCGCTTGGCTGGTTTAACAGTGGGCAGGTGGAAATAGTAGGCAGGCCGTCGCAGCTAAATGCTGAAAATTAGTGAGTTAATCACGCTGTAATATTTTGCAATTTACCAAGTTCACTTGATGACAGAAGCACTTGCACAGCAACAGCACAAACGGAAAGCTAAAGTCTGCAGAAAGCTAGAAGGCCGCGCGCTCGTTGCGGCGGCGGCTGCGGCGAATCAACTTTTCCCATGAGCGTCTGATTATCAGTTGGCGGCGATCGTGTGCTTGAAAAAGGTCTATTATGTACGCCTCATGCGACAATATTGGTTAATTATTACATGAGTATACACACAAGAACTGTAAGTTACATGTGCAGTATAGCCGATGCATTTGATTAATTAATATGGATATTTTCAGAAGCCACAATACATATATATTCGAAGAAAATAGGTCTGGACTAATGGAGTAATTCATCTCTGTTTGACACGATATTAATGAGAACTAGCAGACAATGATGCCAAGTATAGGGCAAGTTATTAGAAGTATTTGTAATGTAAATGTTCGTACCACACAGTATTAGTGCATGGTACAAGCATACATTGCCATTGGGCGTCAGAACGTGATTATTATAATGTCTTCATGGTTTAAGGGTGACCACCTACTGAAAAAGGTACACACACTACTGTGCCTAATATTTTAAGCCATTGTAGTGGGTGCACAGCAAGTTTGGAAAGATTTCACGTGCATATTTACCCGTGGTTTAAACAATGGGCAAATATGCGCGTATAAGGCTGAATATGGCACGTATGGCTACATTCTGTGTAATCTTTAGCCCAGTCATACGCAAAAGCTTCACCGACACATGGCACATTGAACTTTATTGATTACGTTGTAGTAATTTACAATATAAACAACTTGAGTAACATCATGCAATAAAAAGTATGCGCTAAGTGTTGGAAGTACACACAAAGGACAGTATATTGCCATCAGGTTCAATTCTTAAAGACAGTCTGAGGGGTTCCTTGTGTTAAGAAGTACTTATAACATAAATGTGAAGAAAAAGAAGTAGATGAAAAGATACCTTGCTACTGGCAGGATTCGAACCTGCGACCTTCGAAAAACACATCGGATACTCTACCACTGAGCTATGGTGGCGATCATCCCTGCGTCCACTTTATGGGGTATATATGTGCATTGAAACGTAAGATATGTGGCGCTGAATGGCCTTCCCACATTTAAATGCACACATATACCCTAGATATAACAAGAACAGAGGAATGACCATCACTGTAGCTGAGTGGAAGAGCATCGGACATGGCAATTTATCTTCTCATCCACTTTTATTTTTTAATATTTACATTCATAGAATGATATGTGGGATTCAACATTCCAAAACCACGATTTGATTATGAGAGACGTCGTAGTGGAGGGCTCCGGAAATGTTGACCTCCTGGAGTTCGTTAATGTGCACCAAAATTTGAGCACACGGGCTTACAGCATTTCCGGCTTCATTGAAAATGCTGGCGAAGCCGGGATTCGATCACGCGACCTGCTAGTCTGCAGCCGAGTACCTTGGCCACTAGACCACTGCACGGGAGGTTCTTAACATTCATATCACAATTACTTCTCATAATACCCACTATACTCTTCTTGCAATCGTTGTTGTTAATTATTAATAATTATATGTCCAACGTGGCCAATAAGAGCAAAAAGTTGCATAAAGTAATCACGCTTTACGTCACGGGACATGTATATAATGCACGTCTTCCTGCAGGGCATTTGGTATAAACGAATAATGGACTCTCAACTACCTCTCTGTGTGTTCTGCAAAACATTTACTATGTTTATTATTATATTTGTTTCAAACTGAATGTTTCACTTTGAGCGTGCTGTGTACATTACGTTAACGGGCAATATTTCAGCACTATATACGACTTTATCTTTGTAGTAAATAAAATGTTGTTCCAGTAACCAAACTTGTTTTTTTTACTCTCTCTGCTGCCAAACTCAGAAGCGGACAAGAGCGTGCTGGCTACATTCGGCGTCTTCCGCAACCTGAAGCAACTCCTGACGACAGAGGACGTGCCCTCAGCTATGCAGTGCCTACACGGCATCCGTGTCATCACCATGTTTTGGGTTGTGCTGTCGCAGACTTACCTCAACGTTGAATTCCAAGCAGTGCGTAGGTACAATCGAACCTAGGAAGCAGAATTAGCCTCCTGTGTTTCGTGACTATACTAGGCGTCCAGGAAGTGCAAACTGATATCGCCCTACATACTGTTGCCAAACTACAGATTCAATAGCTTTGGAACATAATAACGCATTAGGACTGCTTTCACTATCAGAATGAGCCTGTTTTTTCTATAACATAAAGATGCAGAATTAAGCTAGAGGCTGGCCTCTTTTAAGCGAGACAGAGTATATGGGTCCACGCAGTGCAAATGAAACAGTGAAGCACAATTTCGTCCCAAGGATGAAGCATTGAATGCGAAAGCAATAAAGTGTAATGTTATACAAAGTAAGCCAAGCATATCTCATTATTTTTGCATCCTACACCTGGAAGGACTGGACAAAATACAGGCGTACTTAAACGCGGCCGCTGCAGGAAATGAGGCGACCTTCATGCTGCCTATTGCTTTTCTTAGTAGCACACTATGTTGCTGTTATATTCCTGCCATGCTATCTTCTAACATTGGCTGAATGGTAATGCTTTCGTGTAATCACGTTAGAACACTGTCGCCCATAGGCATTGCTAAAATGTCAAAAAAACATTGCGCCATGTGTTTTCATCAATTGGACAATATTGACCACCTTTGTCAATGCTAATAACGTGCACACAGGAATCATAAGACACCTGTCACTTGTGCAGCCAAGCGGCGGGATTGGAGGTCGAGCTCACCCATTCCTATCCCTCCGAAAAAAAAGTTCAATTTCGCATCTTTATATACGTCAACACATATGACTGCACGCACACACCTAAATAAAGTATGGTTACAATAGCCCCCCCCCCCCCCCCCTAAAACGAATAAAAAAGACTTTTGCTCTGCCACAGACATCTGCAAGATGATTTAGACTACAACCAAAAGTTTTGCAGAAACCTGACGTTTCGAAACCGATTTAGTTCCTTCCTCAGGGGTGACTGCAGGACTACGTAGCAGCGGCATCTTCAAAGCACTCGCGGGGTGGATAATAACCCCCCTCTCTCTCTCTCGTTTTGCTGTGGAGACCAGTCCGTGTGTATACACTGGGGGAAGGGTTCCGAAAGAGCGGTTGATGTTATGGGCTGTCCTCTGTACGTGCCACGACTCGCGTAATAACCTTCTCCTCCAGTTCGGCTCGCTTTCAAGGATGGCCATCGTTTCCAAATTTATTCGGCGATCCAATGTCTCAGCATGTTCAGCGATTGCCCTGCGCTCTTTGTAGAGCTTCCGCACATAGTTGGCGTGTTGCTTCAGTCGTTACTATAGGTTTTTCGTCTCGCCAATATACGAAGAGGGGCACTCGGCGCAGGGAATTTTGTAAGCGACACCAGGGGTCCTGTTCATTGTTGGCCGGTCTTTCGGGCGGGGGAGGAGGAGGCCCAGCGTACACGAAGACACGTGCCCGATGCGAACCCCTTCCTTCTTGAAGAACTGCGCCAATATCTCGCTGGTTCCCTGAACGTATGGGACCGGTAGGCATTTCGAGGGGCTGCCAATTAGTGTTAATTGGGGTTTTCGTATCCTCTGTTACTCTGCGCGGCGGGTGGAGGCTCAAATGAAGTTTTTTGTGTATCCGTTTTTTCTGAGGTCCACGTAATTTCTTTCGCTCTGTGTCACTGGAGCATAAGTTCTTAGCTCTCTAAAGTAGCATGGTCACAACCGAGGCCTTGTAGTAGGTGGGGTGGGAAGAATGAAACTGAAGGTAGTGAAGAGTGCGCGTTGGATTCCTGTGAATGGAGAACTCCAAGCTGTTGCACTTTCTTGCCACCTGGACGTCGAGAAAGGGCAGGCAGTGGTAGTTTTCACACTCGGTCATAAATGGTATGGCTGGGTGCACAGAATTTAGGGCTGTCTGAAGTTTTCAATTTCATGACGCAAAAGCGATCGTCCATGTAACGGAGAAAAAGCTTGGGTCATGGCGAGAAGGAGCTGAGTGCTTTTTCTTCTATGTACTCTATGGTCAGGTCTGCCATCGTGACGGAGATTGAAGCTCCTAACGGGGTTCCACTGTTCAGCCTGAAAATAGTTCCTTTGTATATGAGAAGTATGTACTGGACAGGCAGAACTCCAGTAGACGGCAGAGCTCGTCAATCGCCAAAGGAATCCTTTCACTCAGGCTTAATTGCGTTCTCCTCAAGAGCAGAACAGGCAGAGGAGACAGCTAAGGGCACGCCCCGCCGCGGTGGTCTAGTGGCTAAGGTACTCGGCTGCTCACCCGCAGGTCGCGGGTTCGATTCCCGGCTGCGGCGGCTGCATTTCCGATGGAGGCGGAAATGTTGTAGGCCCGTGTACTCAGATTTGGGTGCACGTTAAAGAACTTCAGGTGGTCAAAATTTCCGGAGCCCTCCACTACGGCGTCTCTCATAATCAAATGGTGGTTTTGGGACGTTAAACCCCACAAATCAATCGACAGCTAAGGGCACTGGCACATTGGTGAACAATGAAATGACGTCAAGTGAGACCAGGCTCTTGTCATCGTCGATGCTCTCATCTAACGCTAACTGCATGAAGTGGAGTTGCGGAAATGAGTTGGTGTCTTCCGGGTAAGGGGGGCGAAGATTCGATGTAGAAATTTTGAAAGGGCTCGGCATGGGGAGAAAGTAAAGTCTACAATTGGTCAGAGGGGGATGTCAGGCTTGTGAATTTTCGGTAGTCCACGGAAACTCTGTGCGAATCCGTTACGACAAATTAGTCGCAGGTAAAAAGTTCTGAGACCCGGGTAATGCTTGAAAATTTCAGCGAGTAGCTGTTTAGCTGTGTCTGGGTTTGCTTCGTTGGGTCCTTTACTAGCTGCGTGTCTGTGTCCCCTACTAAAAAAGCTGAAACTTTCTGATCGTAGTCCCCACTGTCCAACATCACCATCGAATCACTTTTGTCGGCGGGCAAGATGACAATGCTTCGATCCCATTGGAGTTCTCTAAGTGCCTGGTTCTCCTCTGTGTTCAAGTTCTTTTTCCTTTGTAACGGTAATTTCAAAGAGGATTCCAATTGATTTCAGCCTAATTTCTTCTCTGGCACCCGGCCTCACGCTCTGGACAGCTTCTTCCACAGCCGTGACAAGTTTCGGTGGACGGGGCATCATTGACATGTTATAGCCGTGTCCCTTTGCCAGAACAGAGGTTTCGCGATCAGTGTGTGCACGAGATGAAAGATCGATGAGAAACCTTGAATTTTGGATGCTTTGGGTGGAACACAAGCCCAACATGTAGGAGAGTTTCTTATCCTGAGTGGTCCGGTGTTTTTTTGCTGTCGATGCCACAACAAAGTCCGTGAACGCGACGGCTCCAGACATCAACTCAGGGATGCAGTGCTCACGGTGACGCTTGGCAAAGAAGAGTTCAAATTCTTTTTCCATAGAGAGGCATCAACTTCATGAAGGCGGGCGTTGATCAGTTGTTTTTCGGCTCTTGTGACAACCTGTAAGCCTTCCGGGGCCGAGACAGGTCGTTTTAGGCACAGGCTTTGAGGAATGAATTTTCTGTTTTTGCAGCTGCGGCTGAAGTCAAGATGAATCCTGAAGACTGAGATGCCTTCCTTAATGCGTAGGTAGCGCTTGACGAGCTGCATGGTATCATGTCTGAAGTCTTGGCTGATTGACTTGAATGTAAACGTCCGACAGAAGTCTGTCTGGTTGGGTATGAAACTAGGAGATGATTAGGCTCCAACCAAAAGTTTTGATGAAACCCGACGTTTCGAAACCGTCTTGGTTCCTTCCTCAGGGGTGACTGCAAAGCTACGTAGCAGCAGCGTTTTCAAAGCACTCGCAGGGCGGATAATTGACCCACTCTCTCTCTCTCTTGTTTTGCCGTGGAGAGCAGTGTATGTGTATACACTGGGGGAAAGGTTCCAAGAGAGTTGTTGATGTTATTGGCTGTCCTCTGTGCCATGACTCAAGTAACAAAGTTCTCCTCCACTTCGGCTCGCTTTCAAGAATGACCGTCGCTTCGAAATTTATCTGGTGATCCAACGTCTCAGCATGTTCGGCGACTGCAATGCAGCAGTGCTCTACTGTGAGCATACCTAATAAAAAAAAATATGCACTGCCGTAAAGCCCCACTTACAGTTAAACGAACAGTTACAGTTAAGTTAAACGAACATACCACTCTCACATTGGTTTATCATTCTTTTAAGTTTAAGAGCCTGTTATACCGGCTTATACGCTCCAAGTATATTAAACTTTTAAGTGACGTTTGTTACATGTTATCAATCGAATTCTATCGAAAGTGAACTCTGATAGTATTCAAAGCTTTTTTCCAATTTTTTTTATTGATTGATTGATTGATTGATTGATATGTGTGGTTTAACCTCGCAAAACCATTTCTTTAAACCAAAAAGAATGACATTTCCAGGAAATTTATATCAATTAAGTTTATTGCATAGCTTTGTGTAGTCACAACAAATATGCTCATTTTTCTATAATATATTATATGTGGCACTCACTATTCGAGTTTGATTTGAAGTTATTTGAACCAAATCACTATTCACTTCGAACTCACTTAGAGCCTAAAGTTTACTATTCGCACAAGCCTAGTTTTTACACGTTTCATTCCCAGAAAAAAATATGTCATGATCACCTGGTGACTACTATTTGACCACAGTGAATGTCTCACCTGTTGATGTTAAAGTAGCACAGGACATTATTTTATGAACACATGCAGTCTCATTTTTGTTTTCTCTCTGAATGTTGGCCTTAGCAGCAAGAATATATGCTCTAAATTTTAGACATATAGTTGTGTTGCTCCTAGAAATCCTAAATCTGAGTTTTGTAGCTTCATACTTACTCCAAAATAATTTTTTCAGCTTTAAAACAGTTTCTTCTGCTACAAATTGGCCCCGAAAGTGCTTCAAGGTATCCTTTTTTTCATACTCAGAATAGTGAACTTGCTAGACCACCCCTGATTATCCAGTCATTTGTCTGTTTGTGTACTTCATATGTGCAATCTTAAATGCTCGGTCTAGTAGCTAACTCATCTGGCGTAACTCTATAAATGGCTGCTCCAGTGAGAGAGCAATTTTTGGTGTTTTTTGTTGCTCGAGAAGGAAAGAACCAGCGAGAGCACAGCACTTACTAGGATATGAGTCGTGTACTGATTTCAGTAAAGATAGCACTTGTACCAGCGGGTAGATTGCATCTTTGTTTTCAAGTTTCACAGTACCTTTCTAAGCATTGCAGCAAGAACCCTCCCTCCCACCCTCCAATCGGCACTCCTTCCTTTAACCAACAGAGCCAGTTGGCACATTTTATTTTTGGTTGAACTTTAACCGTTTACAACCTGCACAAGCTTTTTATCGCACATGGAAAATCGACGCACTGAGCGGTGTGGTCAATTCTGACTTCATACAGAGCATCCCTGTGTCGGAAACGTTGGATGCAAAAATGTGCTCAAGTGTTCAAATAATTGCTAGCATATTTAAAAAAAGAAGACAAGACACACTGTATTTATTCTTACATAACTTCCAATTACATGAAAAATGTCAATGGCAGTGACTTTTTTTGGTGTAAGACTTAAAAAAAAAAACAAGACATCATTACACAGGTGCATGTTATAAATTTTAAAATCTTACGTGGTCAAAGTATATTTTTATGAATGGTGCTTAACAACAGCAAAGGATAAATATTTTCTGACAAAAACTATTTCAACTCTAACCAAAGTAAGGCATGTGAAAACATGCAAAAACTAGAGGTTTGTTTGCGTGCAGTCTCTATAAATGTTCACATGCATTTTCACCTACATTCTCTATAAATTAATTGCGACATTTTAAATTAGAATTATTACCCTTATTATAATCCTTGACCCACATTAAAACAATATTCATAATCACATGTAAGAGAGATATCCATTAATGTTATTAGGGTATCAACATACTTATCAAGTTTAAGTTGGGTCTTATTACTGCATTTCAAATGCTCTCTCAGCAACATGGGGGGACCGCATGACAGTAGAGCATCTTTCTCATCACTTCACTTCTAACCAGATTGGCTTCCTTGCCAGTGCGAAAATCCCACAACGATAAAATAATAATGATAATATATAAAGCATGCTGGGCAACGTGTCTCTCTAACTGAATATATAGCACGATATCTCTACGAGGAGGTCTCTCTGATGCAGATAATCACAAATGAAAAAAGCAAAAATATGGCTTATCAGTGTGAGAAATAATTTCTGGAAAAGCTGAAGCATACTGGTTAACAATGTTTTGAAAAATAAAATTATTAATCAAGTAAAATCAAGGTTCCATCACCCAATATCACCTCAGAAAGCATGTGTATAATTTCCAAAAAGTCAGAAACATTCAAAAACAAGTTCTGATAGCGAAAGCAATGCTTTACCAGCATTCAAAATGTCCATTTAAAGCAGGTATTTGCAGCAATTGCACTCTACAATGTTTGTAGGTCAAAGGGCACTGCTTTTAACAAGTGTGTCCTCCCTTTGCGGCACAGACCAAAAAAGAGGCATATGCTGTAACCCTTTTCTTTCACCTAGGCAGGGTCAGCGTATCTCGCTTCCTCCGTACGCATAATGGTGCACATTCTTAAGCACGGTTTCCTCCGATTCCATAGTGCACTTCATGTGAAATGACCTGAACTTATACTAAAAAATTGAAGGACACTGTGCTCGCAGTGCTTTATTTAGACTTTGCAGTTTGATTTTTATCTAATTATATGAGTAGGCTACACTGAAATGCATTTAGCAGTTGAACCATGTATTTGAACTATAATGCCACAGCTGTGCTGCCTAGCATGTAGCAACCAGTTGCAGTTGTTTCATACATGCATATGCAAGCATACCTAAATATTTGCTTTTACAATGTTACAAATGTGAAGTATTAAATATATTGTTGTGAGTCTTTTTATGATAGAATGTCACTGTTGGGAGTGAAAACTTTTCAGAAATTGTTGCCACTTTTGTCTGTCTCTTTTATAGGAGGCCTCAAATTTCTCATACCTGCTGTGGAGTCACTTTTCTTCCAAGTCATCGTCAATGGCCTTCTAGCCGTGGACACTTTTTTCTTTCTTAGGTACCTGAAAAACTAAGTTGCTCATGTGTCCATATTATCCAACTCCACTCTTGGCCGACATCCCGGTGTTTTTGTGCTGTGCAGTGGCCTCCTCTTAGCAATGAATGTGATAAGGAGTCTTGACAAGAAAAATGTGAAGAAGCAGACTTTGGGCATTTTCCTCTACAGGTACTTGAGGTGAGCACAACTTTGTCATGCCTAATCGCATGAGCGCTGCATGGTTTGTGTGTGTATAAACAGACAGCGGAAAACTGAAGCAGCCAAACTACAATGGGCTAATAATGTGCTTTCCACTTGCTAAACAAAGTGGAAGCACAAACATTGACACTAGTACAAAGTACCATTCACAGTACATTCTTTTGAGTGTTTGGCCTAGCCACTTAGATTGGGGATTGTGGCCCTTGCAACTGGCGTGGTCTTGACTATAACGACCTCTGCAGCAGGTGGCATGGTTCAAATAGAAAAACACAAAATCAATGATGGCAATATTGCTCTAATTTCTGAAATTTTGAAGCATTTTAAATGAGAACCTCTATCCCAGTCGTAATTCCCAGCCATAACACCTGAGTTCTGGTTCATTCCTAAACAAATCCGTTCGAGTCATTGGAGTGCATCATGAGGTTGGTAATGCCTAACTACTATCAGGACCCTTTCATTATAGAAAGTTTGCTTGGCCTGTAACGACTCAGCACAGCTACCTTCTCTTATATACTCGAATGCCATCTTCCTCATTGAAAGCAATATGATGCTACTATTATATCGACATGTAGCCATGTATTTTATGATTATGATATTGACATATACCTGTGCATTTATTCACAGGAAGTTATGCAATATACTTAATACAATCAAAGAAAACCTGGAAAATTGCAGCAGAGCTGATTTACTGATGATTCATCAATGTTAATATTTTCATAAGCTTCCCTTGCCATCACCGCTCAATTTCTCCCCTTAGGTGCGACCAGCCGAATGCTCCTCTCTGCTTGTGAAAGTGGTAGTTCCCTTTCTACTCGCTGTGTCAGCTATGGCACTCGGCTATCAAAGATGCTGGTGTTTCTTCCAAAGCTCCCTTCAGCCACCGTGAGCTATCTGCTCGGGCAGTTTCATGTAGTTCTGATCAATGCTTTGTCATGCTTCATCATGAGATGCTCGCATGAACAGGCTGCTATCACTTTGTATTGTAGCAAAACAGCTATTTGGGCTAGTTGGTAAAGGTTCATTATGGAAGAAGTGGGGCACGGTACGTAACACGGACTGTGCACATGTGTTGTGGTTCTCTCCTCTAGTCCGTGTTACATACCACGCCCCACTTCTCCCATAATGAACCGCTATCACTTTAGCTAGATCAGAAGTCATTGACTGGGTGAGATATATGGGCACAAGGAATAAAATGACAAACACAAGAAAGAACCTAGTCACAAGAGTGATTTCAGTGTAGTGCACAGGGCACTTAAGGCTTGTGTACTATGTGCACTAAAGGCCTGCATACAATACGATGTCACTGCATGTTAAAAAACACCAGATGGTTGAATATTTTCAAAGCCCTCCACTTTTGCATAGCAATTGATCATAATGTGGTTTTGGCACATGAACTGCTACATATTATTATTATTATTATTATTATTATTATTATTATTATTATTATTATTATATTATTATTATTATTATTATTATTATTATTATTATTATTATTATTATTATTAAAGATGAAGATGAGCCTTATGTGGAACTGTTTATTAGCAACAAAGGGTTTCTCATATATATCTTTCCCTCATGAATGAGCATATAGAGATCACTTGATACTTGTACATCAGAGGTGCCTGCACATAAATTCAAACTAGGGGTCTATGCAAAGCAATAGACATCTAGACGACTCACTTGAAACCCAGCTCGTTTTGCTGGATTACTAATTTGGATTTATATACAGCTACCTCTAGTGTAGACATGTTGCTTAATTCCTGTATAAACATGCATGACAAAAAAATAAATACATGAGAAACTCATTCCTGTTAATAGTCATGAGTACTGCCTCCCTTTGCCCACTCTTCTTTTTTTAATTGTGAAATAGACTTAGGGTATATTTTGCATGGGCAAATATTTATGGTGTTTTTTTTTCTAAAAGAGCCAATTCTTGAAATTGAAGCTGGGCTAAACTGCAAGAGAGTGTAAAGCGAGCCTAAGTTTCTTTCACTTTTAACACTACTGTAATGAAAGATTGGGCTATTTTGAAGAGTTATGTGTACTCAAAAAGGTGATTACATGTGATAAACCAGCCTAATTCTGCAGCTGTTTTAATCAAAGTGAGCCAGATCTATTAAATTAGCACTGTCAAAACAACCAACATGGCTGGCTGCATACAACCTGTTTTCTCTGTGTCCTAGTTTTTTGCTATTGTGCATTTTTTCCACAGTTAGTTGCGCTACTCACAACTCAAGCAACATTAACATATATTTGCGAGTAGCACACATTCTTTACTCTTCGTTGCTTTCTGTGTTTTCACCATAGGCATGCACACAAGGGGGGCTGAAGGCTATAGTTACCTATAAAGACGGTAGGAAGGGGGTTGGGCACAAAGTAGGGGAGGCAGCACTACAATCAACTTTCACCCCCTTCAAGGGGAATCTTGCACATGCTTGTAGTTTTCTATGCTATGGCTTCATCGAATATAACATGCCAGCTAACTCAGCAGTCTGTTCTGAATTATATCGCTATATCATTCCTTCAAGAAGAAAAAATTGACATGGCCCAGCACGTACTGCGTAGACAGGATAACTCTTGGTCATTAAGGGTAACTACCAAGATTCCCAAGAAGGCAAGTGGGGGAGAAGAGACAGAAAGTTAGGGGGCAGACGAGATTAGGAAGCTTGTGGGTACAAAGCAGCAGCAGCAAGCACAGGACCGAGTGGACTGGCAGAACATGGAAGAGGCCTTTATCCTGCAGTGGGCATAGACAGGCTGATTATAATGATGACATTGATGATCATCATTAAATCACTGTAATTTAAACTTTTTAACAAGCTCATTCAAGCCAAAATTATAGTTTACAATCTCTGAGTGAAACCCAGATTTTTTTCTAAATACCTACAGTAGCGGGCAATATACTACATATATTTTAGCTGCAATAAAAACTATATTGGTACCGTATTTTGGTACCGTGAGCACACTGGCAAAAACATTGTTGGCATAGGCCTAGCGATATTACCAGTATCAAAAAATGATTTTTTTCTCAGTTTGAGTAAAACTGCACTTTATGCATTAAACAATACCACATGTTTATTATTATATGTGTGTCAATAGACGGGTGTTGTGTATGAAGTGAATCTGTACTTGTCTAATATGTATGCTTGCAGTTATATGTCTACACTAGTTATGCATGACTGACTAGTCCAACAATAAAGTTTTTAGAGGTACTAGATGGTTCATCATACGTGTACTCCATTAAATAGACACGGTGAGTTCAGCTCTCCATTGAAAGCAATGAGGAAGTACATGATTTTCATCTTGCTCTTGCTAGTATGGCAACTCAACCTTGTAAAAATGTTATTGTGAATAATTAAAACAAAATGACTCCAACTTCAGTATCAAATAAATAGCCAAATTTAAATGTGTATAGTATATTGTAAAGGTATACCCAGCACACTTATTTGCATGTCGTGATGTACTTATTTCTGCAACATACATTTAGGTATAATATGATTCACACAATTATCAGTAATGATTCTTTATAAATAGCCGTTCATACACATGATATATTACACAAATCTTGCAAGATTTAAGAAGTGGAGAGATTTCTAGAAAAATGTTTCCAAAAAAGACTGGAGTATGTTTTAAAGCGAACTCCTAAGATCTCCACTCAGGTAGCTTGAGATGGGCTTGGCAACTTCTTGATACAGAGTGCAGACTTTAAAACCTAATGGTAGTCTAGGAGAACAAAATGGCATATTGATCACACAACGGCAGGATGCAACTTTTGCAAAATATGGAGGATGAGTGGGATTACACCTTCGCAAGACTCGGTGCAATATAGAGGTCAAAAAGTACAAAAGCGATCAGCAAGCTGATGTGCAGCACCATCAGCTGCTGTCATGGCCAGTCAGTCAACTTTTGCTTTCACGTGCGCTGCTCCATTTGGAAGCTAACTTGGGGGGGCTGTACCAAAGAATAGAGACCGAGCGACCATGTCCTAGTTTTCCGTGGTTGCATTTTTTGGCCGTACTTAAGGGCCTAAATGACTCCTAAAATCTACCCAACACTCACACACACACCCACACATAAAAAGATTAGTTAGGGGTCACGTGCATTCATTTCATTTAATCTCATAGATCATAATTGTTTAATCAATAGAAATCTTGATATTATTAAAGTCAGGTGACATGATACTTGCCATTTTATTAAAATACCAGTAAATGTTGTGATATTTTGAACGTGGTCTATAAATTGGCATTTTCATTGCTGCTGCTTTAGCAGGCTTACATTGCACTGGTCCTATAACTTGTGTGATGCTCTGCAAAATACTACAATCGCGTTTGTAACAACATCTGATGCTTCATTTTGTCTTCATCAGCATAAAGAGTGCACGTAATGGTTCATACACCAACTCCACCTTTAATTTTTCTAGTTCATATGCATGTGCAAGATTTCCCCTCTAATGTCTACACTTATTGATTTCTTAACAGTGTCAATATGATCAGTACCTTTTGTAGATCTCTTGGAATACTAGTGCACATACTATTGGCAACCACAAGATTTACACTTTAGACATAATTTTTGATCATGACTAACTCAAAAGTTGACCCTTAGGAATGCTTGGCTGAAAAAATTTGGTGCAGACAGAGAAAAACAGCACAGGCAGTTACGCAAAGATGTAGAGGCTTATGGTTCAGTGGCTCATACCAACTACAGAGGGTTGATTATTAAAATATCTAAACTGGAAAATAAATCAACCACTACATTTTTTGGCTGTTGCACACATTTTGTCAGACTGACCCCTGGCTGCATGATGCTGTTGTGCTTCTTCACTCTGGTGCCTCTGCTTGGTTCTGGTCCAATCTGGAAGGAGAAGATCTTGCCTGAAGTAGATGCCTGTCGCCGCAACTGGTGGGCTGTGCTGCTCAACGTGAACAACTTTGTCCACTCTGAGCGCATGGTGAGCATAAAAAGTTACCAATCATGTACTGAAGTATTGAAAGCACATACACTGAAGGTATGAAGGGTACAATACTTTCCACTGCAATGCAAACTTTCTCGGGCTGTCTGAACAAGAGCTCCTAAAGGTTGGAAAGAACACAATGTCACTCATGCCAAAGGAATCATCATCAGATGCGATGGCAAGGAAATACCTACCAAGCACATCATTTTAACATTTGCATCTAGTGTACTACCTACAGACATTGAAACAGTCGCATCAAACTTGCGGTCCGCCCTAGCATTACTAACACTAGATGGCGCGACAAGTGTCAGCGATATTCCAATGGCTTGCAGAGCTGCCAAGGTCAAGAAACTTGCGCAAGATGTGGAGACCAAGGACACCCCTCTGATATTTGTACAAACACTCTTCACTGCATCAACTGTGATGGTGATCATGCAGCATACTCATGTTTCTGTCGAAACTGGAAGAACGAAAAAGACATTATCACTCCGAAAGTAAAAGAAAACATTTCATTGAAGGAACCGCGTAACAGGTGCGCACCATTCTACACAACACCCTATGCTGGTCCGGTGCGCTGGGGGGCAACGTCGCGATTGCCCCAGCCTCTCCTTTGGCCTGCGCAGAGTGAGCTGTTGGCTGTAACACCTGAACTCTTGGCGGTAGCAACCCAGTCTGCTGGGCCAGCCCGCGAACAGGTACTAGCGACTCCAGGGTCATCAGGTACCAAGGCTTCATTTCGCTAGGTGAGGCCTGAAACTCGAACCATCAGCTCATTCGTGCAAGCATTTCAGCCCCAGGGGTACCATGGTACCCCTGTGACTGAAATATTAGCATATTTTTTTGTATCGTGCCTAGAAAACCAAAAAGCTGATAATGGGGCCCAGTGAAGGCTCTGTTACTTGAGTTCCAACTTCTTGTCTAAACAGCCACTCGCTTTTTTTGTACACACATCACTACTTTATTTTTATCATGTTTCTACAAATTATACACAGGAACATTGGGGGGGGGCTTTCTCAGGAACCTTGACGATGTCAAAGAACTTTTACACAAGCATTCACCAAATAAGGGCTACATGTACAAGAAACACACTTAAAATCCCAACACACCAACTTTCTTCATAGCTACATTGTTTTCAGAAGGACCATGATGATGCCACGGCATCATCTTGAGGGGTAGCCATTATTGGTAAACGAGGGATTGTATGCACACACTTACCACTTCGTTCATCGTTTAAAGCAGCGGCCGTTCAAGTTGTTTTCTTTAATAAACTCGTCACCATTTGCTCTCTGTACATACGTGCTCACCACTAATTGCAATAACAATATTTGTAGTTCTTGATAGATTAACTTCCCCAATCCTATCTTGTTCTAGGGGACTTTAATGTGCATAGTATTCTATGGGGTCACTTTCGCTGCAACAAGCGAGGTCGCCTAATCGAACAGTTGCTTTTCTCTTCTGGTGCGTGTTTCCTGAATTTAAAAGAGCCTACATATTACAGCCTCGCTAACAATACCTGCTACTTCATAGGCCTAAGCACTGTATCTCTATCGCTTCAACTCCTACTTCAATAGAAAACCATAAATAATCTTTACGGAAGAGACCATTTTCCTGTAGTTTTGAGTTAACCGACATAAGAACGTTCTTCACAGGTTCCTAAATGACTCACTGAAAAAGCTGATTGGGAACAGTTTTGAAAAGATACCTTGTTAGCATGAACTGACAAGTGTGAGTTAAGCATAGAGGCTGCTGTGCACTGCTTCACATCTTTTTTTTAAGTAACATTGCAATCAAATGTACTTCACAAACAAGTGGACTGTCTGGCAAACGATGCAAAGGCTGCTGTCACCTTGGTAAAATAATGAGAGTTGAAATGCGCAAAAAAAAACGAAGCATGGAAGTTGCATCGAGAATCACCGACAACTGAGAATTTCACAAATTTTAAGAACATAAAGTTCCAAGGCAGAAAAATATACAGCAGGCGAAAAGAGAAAGTTGGCACAATTTTTTATCATGCGTTACTTCCTATACACATGAGGGTAAGATCTGGAACAGGGCGAGAGGGGTAGAAGGAAAAGCATATTCACTCCCCCTAGTGGACACACAAAGCTACAGCTTAGAAGACCGGCAAACACTTAGGAACACACTATGAGCAGGTTTCTATCTCGTTACACTACTCTCAAAAGTTCCAATGTTACAAGGCAAGACTGGAGAAACAAAACCAAGATACTGAATGTACAAAATATGAGGCACTTCCAACCAGCCTTTCTCTTTAGCTAAGCTACTGGCATCTCTAAACTGCTACAGCAATTCCATCCCAGAATCTAACCATGTGATCTATGAAATGTTGAAAAACCTCCTTTTCAAAACGCAAAGAATGTCGGAGATGGCAAAGTGCAAAAAAGGAGTAGTGATTGTGGGCTGCTGTCTCCTCAGCAACCGCGAAAAAGTGTGTGCAGCACTATCATCATCATGTACAGTTCAGCATTCGTTTGTCACCATAAAGGCATGATGTTGCTTGTCTCGCAGCTTCATCTTTCCGGCGGCGCCTCACATATCGAAGGCTGGCATTCCGCAAAATACACGGTGCCGACACCCCAGAAACAACGAGTGGCTCCCAACAATGCGGACAATGAGTGATGGCTACAAGGAGTTCCTACTAGGAACCACGGCATGAGCTACCTCATTCTAATCAGAACCTCACTCAGGAAAGCAACGAGCAGAACAGGCTACCTTACAGCCAAGTAAGCTGTGATATAAACGACATGGACTGCCTAGAAGCTAAACGTGCTGCTAGACGAATGCAGCTAATGAAGGTAAAGAATGAGGCGACAATGCTATTTGAAAGCGACAACAATGACCAGACCACATTCAGCAAAGTCATAGACAAGCTCATCGCAAGCCGTTTCAAGCTTCAAGATCAATAATAAAATCGAGGATGCGATTCCGGTCGATGAACTAGAAAATGAGTACCAGTCTGTGGAACATTACGATGATCAGGTGCTTGAGACTCTGACATGACTAGGGTGCCACCTTGAAAAGCTCAGCCTCAACAACGCACGGCAGACCTCTATGTCGACGTCAATTGATACGTTGCCGGCCCCAACCACAGCTATGTCTCAGAAAAATGGGCCGTGTCTCTCAACGCTGATGGTCAAGCCATTTAACGGGGATGTGTGTCAATGGACATCATTTTGGGAGCAGTTCAATGCAGCTAGCCGCACGAAGCCATCCTGAACATGACGGACAAATTTCACTATCTTCGCAACTACCTGGTAGGTAAAGCTGCAGCTGCAGTTGCCCGGCTACCAACGACAGAAGCGTGCTATGAGAGTGCCATCCAACTGTTGAAACAAAGGTTCAAGGACAAGAGCAGGATTATACAGCAGCACTTAGGAGCTTTTCATGAACTGCCAACGGCAACATTTTCATCGGATGCGACAGTCCTCTCGCAGTCCACTGCCTCAATGTTTTAGACGTCCCAACGAGCAGTTTTTCGGCGATGTTCTTTGACATCATGCTTCAATCCTTGCCTCAGCGTATTGGTGTTGCGTTCCACCGCCATAAATGTCTCCAAGATGAATCACAATACTTGGAAACATCTGATTCATGGAAGGCAACCACAGCATGACAGTGACAATGACAATGACTTTATTTTCGCATTAATACAATGAATGATACGAAATATATTGCAAGAAACTCGAACAGCTATCACAGTGCACACCGATACAGCACTAAACAAAAGTGCAGTGAGCTCAATCGAGGCCCTCTATTAAACCCCATGAGAACCAAGGAAAACATGCTTTTGGCATCGGTCCTACATGCATCGGCAGAATCAAAGCAAGTACGCCACAAATGCTTTTTTGCAAGTCTACAGAGCACCAAACTGAGGCTTGCTGGGCCATCTTGACCGTACTTGAAAAAAAGAACCATCTGGCTAAATCGATGTGGTGCTATCAATGCACTAAGAAGGGTCACTATGCGAACGACTGCCGGCGGAGGTTTGTGTGCGCAGCATGCAAAGGCAGCCATGCTTCAACGATATGTGACCCTAATTATAGCTCCAAAGTCGACATGTCACCCAATGATGTGTCTGATGTCACCAATTCCCAGGAAGCAGAGAGTACGCAGTTGACTGCCATAACAAGTTGTCACCTAGACGAAGCAGTCAGTTTACAAATTTTTCATTTTTCGATCGTGGATTTCAGCGAGATGTCTTATGTCACAGGCATCTTCATTGCAGGCAGTCATCACATGTTCATCAAAGAAGACCTGTTGGTGTGCTTGAGCCTGAAAATCATTAGAGAAACATGCCTATTGATGAAAACATTTGCTTCTGACATCCGTTCTTATGTGATAACTTACAAGGTTGTCGAGGTTCACCTGCAAAGACAGTTTGACAACACCCAGCATGCCACTAAGGCTATAGCCATGCCGGTATATTGCCACAACTTCCCAGGAATGGCTATAGAATGCTTGTTTGCTGCCAAAGTACGTGAGAAAAATTACTTGCTGGCAGATGAGCAAACTGTGCCTCGACAGTGCGGTGAGAAAGGCATTAGCCTGCTGATTGGATCTGATCAACTGTGGAAGGAAGCTTGTGCACGGTGACATTATACACAGCACGGAAGTGCGAAAATTGGTCATGATCAAGACCACCCTTGGTTGGACGCTTCAAGGTCTTGTCATGAAAACGACCATCATGGGCGAGACATCTGGAGAGATGACGTACATCCTGCAAGTGTAAGCTCAAGAATGCAAAGACTTGGAGAAAAGCACATACTAGATTTCCTTCCGATGTTGAATGCTACCGGAATTGAAGCAATGTTGGATGCTACAAGATGCTACCAGAAATGAAGCAACTCACAAGCACACTGACACCTTGTCTGTCGTCAAGAGTAAAGTCGCTAAGATTGAAAAACGGTACCAAGTAGCCATGCCACAAAAATGCAAGGACACCGAGTTGCTTCAAGACAGCTACAGCATCACTATTTATTGCT